GCGGGAAGAGGTCACCAAAACCAGTCAGCCAGCAAACATAAAGCAAAGCTCAGTTCAACAATATGCTTTATTGGTTTTGTGATGGCATTTTGTCCTAGGACAACGCAAGTTTTGTCCATTCTGAGTAATGGACAAAATCTCATTAGGACAATAAGAATTAAAAACATATTACAAAATTCCAAAGTATAGTATTTGACTCACCACTGAAGGTAGGTGCAGAATGCTTTCAAATTCTAAATAGAAATTTGAGTATTTTAACTCAAAAGGACTTAGAGACCGTCACCTTGCTCAAGAGGACCTTGCCCTTGGACAGACACAACCTTGCTATGGACCTCCAGCAGCAACTCAGCTAAGGTCTCTTCTGCTCAGGTCATTTGTACGAGGACAAAACCAGCATCTATCTTTTTCTCTCTCCAAATAGCAATTTTAGGACAAATAATGCCCTTTTTTTTGTTTCCTTCTTTTTTAACATAGAGTATAACTGTCCCTCTTTGGGACTTCTAGGAGCATCATAAAAATTTTTTTCAAACTTCAAAAATTAGTAAAAAACCAAATTATGAAGTTCAGCACATTTGTTACTCCTTTTAGAATAAAATGCTAAAGACTGAAATTGAACAAAAGAGAGCAATTTTCAACAACCACTGATAAGAAACTGCATGCACAAAATGGCTGTAGACTACAGTAAACATTCTGACTACTCTTTGAAGTATAAAACCTTCCAGTTCCAGAAGAGGTTACTCGAACCACAGAACAAGGTTCTTCAATGACGTATGTGGCAGGAGACAGTAGTAATAAACTGAATAGGGGAACTGCTGACAGTGGCTACACAAGGGGAAAAAAACAACTGCAAGAATAATAAAAGTATTGTATAGGGTTTTGTCATGAGGCTGTTGAATCTTAAGACTCAAGTGGACAAAACCCTAGTGAAATGGTCTGAACTCAATGTTGACACTGTGCTCAGCACAAAACTGGACTAGATGATCTACTGAGATCATTCTCAACAGGAATTATTTTATCTGGCTACTCAAATGTACATATCTCGTCTTCTTTTACCCTCTGAATGATATTAAGACAAGGAGCAAAACCCTCCCTTATGAAAGCAGGAGGATATGGTTTAAGCACAAGGTAAAGAAGCACAGTATACTTGTTTTTATCTGTTACAAGGTGATCGAGATGCAAAGTAGAATTTATAAGAAGTTATTGCAAAGACAAATATTTTCCTCAGAAAATAATTTTTAAAAAAGATTTTTGCCATAAACCAACAGATCTTCCTACAAATACTTGACAATGACCAGCTAGGAAGAAATGTGGTTTAGATGAAATGAAAGTTTGCTGTATGAATAAGAGATTTTGCTTCATGTCCTACTGAAAACCACAAGGGCCAAAAAGCTTCTCAGATGTACAAAGGACTTTTAGCAATTCTGGATGTTTTATCAATGCTTATGCCAGCAATTACTAAATTATTATTCAAAGGAAACCAATGAACTTCCTCAGAAAAACTTTAAATGGTGACTTTTTATAATAAAGATCCAAAGTTTAAAACAGTTCAAAAAAGAAAACCACTTTTTTTTTTTTAATTCAACAACACAGTGAGTGCAACATGGTAAGTTAATGCTCATGGAGTTAAAGATAATATGCTACAGTGGGTTTAGTGTAGTTATATGTTCCTTAAGAGTTGAAGAACAGCTGCTAAGTTAAGGTTCAAAAAAACACATTTATTTTTAAAATTTGGCAAAGGTATATGGCTCTCTACAGATATTTCAAAATGTATGTTGGAAATAAATATGAAATGTCAATATTTAGCCTTTTTCCAGATCTTTAATGAAATTACTGCTTCTGTGGAATATTCTAAATATGTATTACAACTTCCATTGCACTGACTGAAAAACCAGAGGAAATAAAATAAAGGTTTATTAGCAAGCACATGAGATGAAGCAGCAGCTACCCAGGTTGCTCCACTTAATTCAGCAAGTTTACTCTGACTTCATTCATAGAAATCAATTAAAGCAAAAAAGTCAAAACAAAGCTTCTTCTCTCTGGGTTCTGATAACAATGACCTTCAGTTAAAACTCACTGATCTGTTGTGAGTTTATTTTAGAGACAACTAGAACATTACTAGCCTAAAAATTGCAATATATGGTACACAGTCATGAAAAAACACACTTTCAAAAATGTATGTTGAGTAGTAAGACCAGTATTTAAAATTACTTGTCCTTCATGTGTCCTACTATATTTATGTAAAAATATCCCGGTCCTAAAATGATCATTAAAGCAGCTGGTATTTAATCCAATCTATATGAGGGGTTTATTTTTATACAAGGATTTAATGTGACACTTTATTTTTGCTCATTGGCTTTAAGAAGACATAAAATTACTTTTTTTTTTTTAACTGATGAGAATTACAGGTATTCTTATCTTTAAAGTGCAATCATACAGCCCTGTCCTACAAGGTGTTTGGAATACATGTATCCAGACCAGGCAGTTAACAAAGAAGTTAACAAGTTTTCATTTTCTACCAGTAACAGGGCAAAATGCTTTTTAATGCTTTAGCTAGTCAAGGTGAACCTGAGGCTCCTCATCAGAATTCATTGCAACTTCCTGACACATGAAAATAACCTCTGCCCCTGTTATTCTGCACTAGCACAACCATGATTGCTTCACTGACCATAAGCCATGGCAATTTATATGGGCACGGACCTGCCTTGAGGCAGGTTTAAAATTAGCTAATGTGTTATTTTGGAGGGGTTTTTTAAATACATCTAATCTCAGTCAAAACACACCATATTAAAATCTTCTATGCCACATGTTCATTTTATTTTTTGCCAGACAGTCATACTACTATATGGCATAATGAGTCATGCTCTTGGGCTCATGTAGCTAAAGCCCACCAGTACAGTGGCTACTACACCAACAAAATTACCTCTGCAAGTGGTTCTTCTTTTGCTGCTGCTGAAAAAAACATAGATACTTCCCTGAAATGGCCTTAGCTTGAGCTAACACACAAACAGATGTTTGACACAGTAAGTTAGCCATGCACATGAAGAACTCAAACCTGATCTAAGAAAACTCACTGAACTCTTAACATAGCTGTTCTCTCAGTTCTTCTAAAATCAAAACACATTTGAATATAAGTGATTTTGCCAACCAGGATCATAAAAGTTGTACACATTCCACAGACTAATCTCACCTCCAAATCAAGAAGTTAATTACAAGTGGTATTCATAATTTGGGAGATTCTTTCTGTTTCTAAGCTTTAAAGGATGCACTTGCCAGAAACATGACAGATGCAAATTTTTTAATGTGAAACCTGAGAATGTAATTTAATCTAACTGTAGCAGCTAAACATGAACAAGAAACAAACACTACAAGACTTCCAGTAATCTAAAGTACTGGCAGCAACGCCGTAAGAGAAGCTGTAACTGAGAAATGTTTAGATGTGCAAAAATTCATTCACATCTAAAATAAATAGGCCAAAGCTTACTTTCTTGAAGAGATCTCGTAGATAGACATCTGTGTAGCAACAAAATTATTTAAAAAGAAGCACTTAGTGAGCAAGTGTGGTATAACAGTAGTGTGACTTACTGGGAGGCTTCTCTTCTTAATGGATTTAACAGCTACTGAGGTCTACATTAATTACTAGTAACAGTCCTGACAATTATCTTTTGACAAATAAGAAGAATCCTATTTCAACATTTTATTGGAATGGAGAAATAAGGAAAAGCAAAAGGAAAGAGTTATAGGAAAAATAAGTCATGAATAATTAAATGTCCTACTGTATCTTTTTTCCCCACCAGACTACCTGTATTTTCTTCTACTCTTTATGCAATTTAAAAAGGGACAAAATTGATTCAGATGTCTAATAGCTTCCAAACAACCTGAAGCTATTAATTTTTCAATTGCATGTTACATAAACATATTTGCTACAGAAGTCAGAATTAAAAAACCCCCCACAACTGAAAATGCAACTGTAGCTTCAGAACATTCTATTATGAAATTAAGGGAACCCATAGCGTTTGATAGCTTTAATAGGCTCTGCCTCACAGGATATAGGATACTACAGCTTAACAGAGGATGAACACTTACTTTTTAAATATTTATAAATTTACATGAATATCATCCATCTATACCACGACGCATCTCAATAATTATTCTGCAATACAATGGGAGTGCATGCTCAAACAAAACACCTCAGCAGTATTTTAAAGCAGTAAACCACCTAGCCAATTTCTGTACGTTCTGTAGTTTTTCTAATCCACTCTCCCTGTGGTTGAGCAAAATCGAATTGCCTCTCACATTTGCAGACAGCTCTGTGAAGGTGATAATAGAGCTGCTCCCTGCTGTCATGAGGCAGGAAATAGGAAAATGGCATATGGGGCTAGAAAGAAATAAAAAGAGAACTAAACAAGAACAAAAGAGATTTCAACAAAGGACAACTATAACCCAATATGCTTTGCAAGTTAATCTCTTTTCATAATAATTTAACGTCCTTAATCATTTATCCGCACACTTCTCAAAAACTCAAATGCTTGATATCAATTCCTCTGTAAAGTTTTATTGCCCAAAACATTTGGAATAGAATTATTTGCAACGCCTGTAAATCAGTGCCTTCTTAGTACCCACATAAAGGGGCTGAACCTGCTCCAATCTGTTAGCAATTGATCTTAGATTTTGTAGCTAAAACGTAATATATGAAACAATGTATACTTGGATTATTTGCCACAAACCTGTTGAGTGACACCCGAATAGAAAAAAGTGAAGGAGGATTATGATTGGTTATGTGTACTGACAATATTAAAGACTTTTAGGCTGTTTAAGGACTACTGATGTAAGATGCGGAATAAACTGAAAATGATCTCTTCATTTACAATGAGATTAATTTTTAATTTTTATTTTTAATGCAGTATGGGCCTCCAGAAATCAAGAACTTACACATATTTACAGTGCTTCTATATTAAATATCACTGAAGTACCTTAAAAATTAAAAAGCAAGCCTACCATACCTTTCCTTTTACACTCTGAATGGGATCCACCACCACAGCAACAGCTCTTTCTGATAAGGCTTCAAAGCTCTGCTGAGTATTGATATCTACACCAGATAACCAACAGCCAAAGCCAGGATGACTATGATACCAACCAACTACCATCTCAGGTCTGAAACAAAGAGGACATTGAGATTCTTAAAAATATAAACACGTATCACAGGAAGAAATAGGAACATATCAGGGCATAAATTAGGATGAGCTGTGAAAAAAACACCATTAGTAATATTTAAATTGCTCACCATAGTATGGTGAAAACATGGGCATGAATAAATGCGATGAAGAGGGCTATCATTAAGGGATATGCATTAGCAGTGGTAGATCATGCTTTCAGTTTTTCACCCTGTTACCACACCTTCCCTGAACCAGTTTTTACCCTTTCAGCACTTGAGTAAATATCTACTCTTTAACTCCTTGGCGTCGAAGGTTGAATTTTCACGGCAGAAAGTCCATTTCAGACATGGACAACGGGAACCAACGGTGGGAACGGATTAAATATCAATTAAACCAGCAGTAGAACTAGGAACTCAGTCAAAAAGCAATTTGCACTGTTCTGTTCAGCTGCTGAGCCTTTTGCTAACATTAATTTTGAAGTTTTTCCCACAGTAAAAGAATTCGAGCAAGCAGACGACAACTGTTGAGAGGTAGGAGTGACATAAAAATTTGTTTAAATAATAGGATCTTTTACATAATTATTTTCCCTTTCTTTTCACTAGAATTGCTCTTGAATTAGCTACAACTCTGTAATATTTTTAAATCTTATTTAAGGGGTTCAATTAAAAAATCAATGCTTTGAGCAGGTACTGTCTAGTAACTGCCTATACTAAATGGAGCAGCATTCTAATCTTTCTGTGCAACAATCAAAACTGTAGGTTCAACAGAGTGACAATCTCCTGACAACTGAAATGCATGAGGGGGACTGAATTACATACTATGCAACTCACCTAATTTCTGGGCCAATTATTTACTTTTAAACATTAATAACAGCCCTTTGGAGTTTTGCAGACAGCCAGCTGTTTCTTCTAAAAACCATGCAGGGAGCACTTGTTACTGCCAGCCCTCTTCACAGTGACTTACCTGCCCGTCTGTTTCAGCATATCCAACATTTTTGCTTGAAATACAGGGTCAACTGCCTCCACACTGACACCCTGATGTAAAAGACAGATAAAAATCATACTAGCTATCCATAAAGCATCATTATAGTTTAACTTGTTACTTTCCACAAACAAAAATATTCATAAGCATCTGTTTAAAAAGGCAACCTGAATACTTTAGTACTACATGATAGAAATCTCTTAAACAAAAAATACTGTTTTTAGAAATGCATTTCAATGTGATTTTTAAAATGCTGAAGGAAGATTCTGAATTGCCATTTAGGTAATCTCTACTACAAGCGAACATGATTAAATAGGTATAGGAATTCATGTTTCCCCCTCTGTTTGCTGTGCATACAGTGGCCTGTTGTTTCTCACAAGTTTGGCTCTACAGGTTTTATCCAAGATAAATATTACATATTGGTTTTTCTGTAGATTCTACTTATATTATGCACATGTATAGAATAAATTAAGGACAAAATAATTTGAAAATTTCATTGATATGCAGCTCTGAGTTATAGAGGGACCCATGCTTCCTTTAAGAACATTTCACTCATGTTAGGCAAAAAAAGGCATCGTAAATTGCAATTATGCCCATTGACTCTTCATCTCTTTTATCTTTTCATAAAATGAATATTTTTACTCAAAAATTAAAATACATAATTTTTTTCACATCACAAAAATATCTTTTAAGTGACATGCCTCTAAGATCTATCAAAGAGAGGCAGCATCTATAGCACTGTCACAATTAAGGGCATGATATGCTCCTAATCAAATCTTTTACATTTTGAATCGTTTTCATGGCTCTTATTATATGAGTTCTGAAATTCACCAATTTATAAATCTTGTAAGTCATGTCATACCAATGTATTTATACATACATAACAATCTAACATCTGTGTATACTGATAAACACACTTTAGTACCAGCCTTTGCAAAAAAAAAAACAAAAACTTTCAACTAAATCCATTAAATCCCTTAGACTTCTTTGAATTATAACTCACAGGTTATATAAGAGGTTTTACCTTCAGATTGCATCAACAACGTAAAGCACAAAAAGATTTTAAAAAATAAATCTGCTATAAGGAAGAAATCAAACAAGCAAACAAAATTATCAAGGTTTACATGCAAAACACTCACCGTTCCTGACTGTGGCATTGCAAAAACATCGATCACTCTCACAGTATAATCATCAACAAATTCCCCAAGCATCAAACCCATAACTTCCATAGGGACACCAGCACGACCATGCTTCAACATCTGGAATTAAGACCAAATGACAGTATATACGTTTAAACAGGAAGTTCAAGTTTGATTTGAGGTAGTTCTTTCAGCCTTTGTTTATCTATAGATCATTTGTAACTTGTAGTACTTTTGGAAATGATAAGGAACTATAATATAGTCAGAATAAAGCCAACAAAAGAGAACCAATTAAAATAAGTTTCTGAGTGTGCCAATCAGTAATAATTTATATTTAAAATTAGTCTAACCAGCACCCAGGGAGCACAAGTCCATAACCTTGGACAGCTGCCAGGTGCTCTATCTCAAGCACTATACTCAGACACAGTATGCACAGAACACTTACTTTCAGCAGCGCAAGGGAAGAGATATAAACCTGTTCTGCTGTATCGACTGCAGGAGCATCTGTTGGTGGCCCCTACGAAAAGAATAAATAATTATTTTCTCCACCATTGTGATTCTGCAGTTTATAAACATTTCATTTTGTTTTCCATACTAGGAAACTTACAGAAAAATCCATATACAATTGTGACTTTGTGGGTTAGATGCAGCTGTTAGAAACAAAGCCCAAAAAAAAGCACACCCAAACCCTAAACACTTCTCTACAGCACCTTCCTTTCATTAAGATATTTTGTAACAGGTCACCTAGCCATCATCTCATCTCCCCTCACCCCAAAACAACACAGTCTAAGGAGGAATCTTATCAGAATCAGTCAAATATAAAACTGGCAAGTATTGCACTGGGTACAAACCTGTTACAAGCCAAGCCTGTTACCGGCTAAGAGTCAGCTAAGTTTCCATTAGTCAGCCTTGCCACGATGCTAACCTTCGTCAGCTGTAAAATGTGGCCAGTTCTCCAATTAACTATGTGTTTCTTACAGTGGTGTGAATGTAAATGCTGCTGGGCTAGCATGATTAACTGGCACCAACACAAACAGCAATTTCCCTTTGCTTCATCAGCTTTCAGCTAAAGAGGACTTGCAGATAAAGGCTATGGGAGTATTTTGCAGATACACTGGTACAGTGAGAGAAAAAATGGACCTCCGATCCCTAGGTGGAAAAGCTGTGAACAAAATACTTTGCTCTTTGCCTTATGAGTAGTTATTCAAAAATTAGCACAACTGTCCCAGGTGTGAATGATTGGTTGAAACAGGTTCTGTGTACTGCTGAAAATGAAAAACACAGGAGGCAGCAGTTTAAATGTCCTTTTCTCGGGAAGCAAGAGAAATATTGTTCTTATGTACAGAATTCCATACCAGTGTACCTCATTACAACCAATTAACAGCACATTCATTACTTTATTACCAAATTGTGTACAACAAATTTCCACTGAAAAGACACAGATTACTTCTGCATGAAGTGATGTAAACTTAAAAGGGCAACAAAGCAACTATGGCGTGAACAAAAAAAAAGATACTCTATGTTAAATTAAAAGAGGAAAAATGGTGCCTTTACACAAACATTTTGTAGATTTAGAACTTTGATGCCGCAGTTACAAGCAAAATCAGGGGAAAAAAGGTTTCGAGTAAATTCTTGATTTTTCATTTGTGTGTGGATAATATATATATCCATGGAATAAGTGGAAAAATTCAGTATAACATACATCCACATGACATTAAACAGAAGACACAGCAACCAACACAGGCCATTACCTTGTGAAGACAAAACCAGGTATTTAGGTAATCAACATTTGTACAGTAACTGTCCTTTCTGCATAGTTTCACTTTTGCACACAGAAAAACATCATCTACTCTTCAGAAAGCTTTAAAAACAGTAAGAAAATTCAGTTGTGGGCTTTTTTCTTCAATGTCGATTAATTCCTTCTCTGTTAGTTACAGATACAGTCTTTATATTTTGCATCCAATCTTTGTATTTTGAAACTCACATAATGCATGAATCTGTATCAACCACAGCTACTTCCTAACAGCTTCAAACCTTTATTTCCAAATTTGATACTGCTGACCATCACCTCTCGACATTTGCTTCTCCTTACTTCCTATTACTCATTGCGAATTCTTCTGTCACTTTGGTCCTTTCACCAGCAATCTTCCAGCACGTTTACCTTTTCACCTTCTATGATATTCTTGCCAAAGGTCCATTTCCATCAACTCCACCCCTTCATCAAGTATCTCCCTGGTCTAGGCCTATGCCAACAGTGAGATGCTCCAGTGGAGAAGTGCTTCTCTAGCACTTATACTGAAAAATTCTATGTGCAGTTCTTCAGAACATTTCACAGAATCAGAGGCACAGAGCACCTGAATCACTTATACCAAATTTTCCCAATTAAACTGTTTGACAAAGCTTCAAATACCCAATCATTTTCTGACTCTGTTACTATGCTTTTCTTCTCCATAAACATGCCAGTTTGCTTTTTAAACTGTGTATCTTCTGCTTTAAGTCTATCGCAATGATCTTCTTTTCACTTAGAAGTGTTCACTTAGAATTTGGAAAGCATGAAAACTCATGTTTCTGCTTAATCACTGCTAAGAATAAAGCTCAGATAAACTGAGGTTTAATTTTAAAAGCAACTTGTTAGTTTATTAATAACCCCTTTCTTCATACATAAGGCTCTCCCAATTTTCCTCCATTTCCAGACCAGAGATGGTCTGAAGTGACAGTAAAAATACAAACACAGTAAACTTTTGCTTTAGGAAGAACCATAACACCTGTGCTGTGATCACCATACATTTGTTGCAGATTTTGTTCAACATTTCACTGTAAGTAACCATCCCATTAAGCCATTCGGTAGTTTTTAAAATCAAGAGTAGTATAATAAAAAAATCTTCCTCAAACTACAATAAGTAGTTTCATGATTTCTGGAATGTTAATGTTGATGCTTGATTGAGACTATCTTCAAATATCAGGAGCCTGAACTGAAGTTTACTACACAGACTATGGCTCTTGAACAGACTGGAATCTTGAACTGACTACGGAATCTCTAGTGTCTGTTAGGATCACAGCAAGACTCGCCCTGCAGCTGAGGCAGTAATCACATCTCTATCCCCCATGTAGACACTTGTGCCTACAACTCGTAAGAGCTTATTCTTCACAACTTTTCACGTTTTACAATCAATCAGTAGATTCACCACTTACAGGAAGGAAACAAAGACAAATATTATTGCATTTTGTTTCTGTAACAAGACAAATAAGTTACCTTCAGTTTAAGTGAAGGCACTAAAGCAGTGTGTTAGCCTACTGTATTAATTCCCAGTCTTTCCTTATGATTTGCACAGCCCTTGGAGCTTCCAAATGCTCATTTACCTTGGTGATGGTCCAGAATAGAGAATACTTAATATTATACTTCATCAAATCTTTAGGCATTCTGAGATAAAGTAGTTTCTGTTTTCAAAACTTATGTTAAAGTGCTCCTGCCAGTTCCCAGCACCCACAGTCAATAGTTTATTTTCAGCCTAGGAAACATAAAATTTGTAAAGGAGTGCTTCATTGCTGTAAATCAACTGGCTTAGGTTTGGGTAGTTTTTTGCTGGGATTTTTTTTGATTGCTTTTTCTTAAAGCCATAGCATTCACTGGGAATGATTTTGCACACAAAATGTGTTTAGATACATGTATAAAAATTAGTACATTAAGGGTCAGGTGGTATCAACTGCAAACTTTCCTGCTTCACTGTAAGCACATGCCTGAGATAACAAAAATATTAAAGATCAGCTTCCGCCTTTACCATGTAGTTCAACCAATTTACCTGAACTTGTGAAAACCAGCTAATGGTAGTATACAATGCAGGTTTATTAATTCTCAGTCGTCTTATAAAATACAGCACATACCAAGTATTTCCTTGGTCACTGATGCTTCTTTCGTGTGACCTCACTATCTCCTTTCCGTCTGCTCTGTTCTCCTTATAGATTTTAATTACTAGCTAAATTATGGGAAAAGGAAACTCCTCATTGCGCTGTTCCAATTATCTGTATTAATTTTCATGTTAATATTCCTTCGTTTTGAATATAGATTAGAATGAACTGTTCAAAAAAGAACTGACATTCAGGAATTTTGAGGAGGAAATGATCCATATGTCAAGTTTCACATTATTTTTCTACCAAGATAAATTGACACGCAAAATACTATAAGCACACACTTTTATTTCTACAGAAAATTATAAACCCAAAGTTCATCAATTTTTTAACAGAAAACTTTTAAAGATTTAACAGATAAAGCCAACAGAATAGATTTTGTGTCTTCCAAGAAGTTTACTTGACTTTAGACAATGCCATTTGAAACAGACATTTGGAAACTGGAACCAATTTACTTCCATCTCTTCACGTTCTTTTCCACAAATGGCTGATAATCTAACACAGCCCTGGAGCGACAGCCCCAGCTTCTGTGTGTTAGCTACACAGTATGTGGGAGATAGCTACGAGTTACATGTTTTGAGATCTCTTTGGCCCGTTTCTGCTAGTTTTTCACAGAAGTTTATGCATTTCTTTCATCAAGCAAAGAGGAAAAAAGACTTTATTAGCTAATCTCTACATGGAGGCAAAGTATTTTACACTGACCCTCCACAGCATGTGCTATTACCACTGTTCATAAACTTCACTGCCTGCCAACTTTAACAAAGAGGCACCATCCTTATGAAGCAGAGTACCAAATTAAATTAACTGATGTCAGGAACCCAAACAAGAAAGCATTTGTGTCTGCAATGCAAAATTGGATCTGCTGGTATTTTTCGTTACATTATGGAATTCAACGGACAGTTATCCCACCACACAGGATTGTAAGACTGCCCATCTCACTGCACCACCGCAAATACAACCTGCCCACAGGTTTATTGGAATATTTCTTGGGGAACTGCAGAAAAATCAGGTTTGGGAGCCACAAAGAATATGGAACGTTCTTTTTGCCAAGCACACATGGATAAGCTGGCTACAGTAATAATAAAAATTTAAAAATTGCTCTTAAAAATGCTGCTATGTGCTACTTTCTGAACATGGATGTTTCTTCTGAATCAGCTATACCTGCTGTCACTGTTAAATGAGCTGCCTGATGGGAGCCATCTCATAAAACCCAACCAAACCCTGGGTTTATTTTTGTTTAGAATGGCAGAATCCGAAGTTCAACAATAATTGATAAAATTGAAATACATCTTATTTTTACTTTTTTTTTAAGCAATACTTGCAATGGAAAAAGAATCACATGCAAGTTATGAACAGAAGATTACATTGTAATATCAAATTATGCATGATACTATCTTTGTTTCAAACAGTTAAAGAGATGATCCAATATAAAAAGCAGCCCGTTACTTGGGCAGCCCTTGTTGACGAAGTGTTAAAGGCATTTGCCATTCTAACAGGATAAAAACTAGCGCCTTGAAGTGTTATCTACTCAGGCCTTTTAGCAAATTTGTTAACACTTTTAGGTATATTACTTCACCTTTCTCTTAGTGTGAACTGATATCAATTATTTAG